TAAAAAATTTATTATATTTTAAAACATTAAATTTTATAAATTATAATATATAATAAAATAATAATAATAATATATTAATATACTATAGTAGTAATATACTAATATAGATATTGAATATTTATATAATATAAGTTATATAATTAATATATAATATTATTTTTATATATTAATATTAGGGATGTCAAACTGGCTCGTCATTCGCGAACAGCTCGTGTTCGGTTCGTGTTTGACTCGTTCGTTAAGAAACGAACACGAGCTTATTTCAAACAAACTAAATTTTAAATGAACCAAACACGAACACAAGCTTTGTTCATTCGTGTTCGGTTCGTTTACACCCCTAATGGTATCTTACTATCTAAATAATATCAGAATATATAAAAATGGAAAATATATTTCAGGGCCATTTACATGCATACCCCATTAGTTTTATATATATACATATGTTTTATGGCGCTCAAATCATCTAACATGACATGAAAATTACAACTTTTATTAGTATTTTAGAAGACCACGTTTTTTTATGTATAGGTTTATAGCACCATGATGATATAAATGTAAATATTAAACTTTATATGGTAGATATATAAATTCATAAAAAATGTGTGGTATGTATGTAAATTTCCTATTTCTTAATGTCATTTAAAAACTATAATCTTATATAAATAAGAGGGAATCACAAACCTAGCATTAATTTATATTTATAAAAGGGCTTTACATATGTACCAATCCAATTATTATGTATTAGCGTAAAAATTCATCTAAATTTCAATTTTTACGTACATATCCGATTCGTATGTTTACGGCATAATTTGGGTGATCTGTCGGTAAAAATTAATGTTAAAGTTGTTGATATCTTAATACATAGGAATTGAGCGGTCGAATGTAAATCTCCAATTTATAAAAATTATTATTTGTCATTTTTTTTGAACTATCAAATTCTTGTATTTGCATAAGAAAAGAATAAAAGAGTGCTTGAATCTTTCGTAAATTTAAAGGAGGATGAATTAATTAATGGAAATGGGAGGACATCAGCATTATAAATAGTTAAAATTTGATGTCATATAATAAGAGTGTTACATACGTAAATATTAACTTTTTTTTAACCGTTGGATGTGGCGAACTCAATTTGGGCAGGCTCGGATCAAGCTAGAGCTGCTTCAAATGTAAGATACTAAGCTCATTTGAAGTGAAATTTTTTGAATAAAAGCAGATAACCAATGAGGAGATTGTGCATAATTGTGTGCGAATGTCTAATTGGTTGTTCGCTTCTAATTATATTTGAATTAATTATGGCTACGATATTTACTTAAAAAAATATATATAGGTGGCGAGTCCTCGGGTTGTAGAGGCAATCTATGCGGGCTGTATACCTGTTATAATCTCAACTGGATATGTGTTGCCGTTCAGTGATGTGTTGAAGTGGGAGGAGTTTTCTGTGAAAGTGGCGGTGGAGGACATACCGCGGTTGAAAGAGGTGTTGAGGAGGGTGGCGGACGAGGAGGTGATGCGGCTGATGGCCGGAGTTAGGGCAGTGCGCCACCACTTTATTCTCAACCACCCGCCCAAGAGATTCGACGCGCTTTACATGATATTGCATTCAGTTTGGTTGCGGCGACTCAATATAAAGGTTGCTCAAGTTTAGGCTTTGGGAGGGAAACAAACAGTTTCTTTTCTATTAAATTGTTTTCGAAAGTAAAGGAGAAAAAAATAAAAGATTATAGGTGACTTTGAAAAAGGCTTTGTGCGGTGGGCCTTTTCTATTTTATTTTTTTCTCGATGTTGGTTTGCCTCCTTTTTTTTGTTATTTTAGAGAGGGAGTGTATGTGCGCGCTCATATGAGAGAGATAGAATGTAGAGTGATTTTGTATGTTCATCTTGACTATGAATTGTGTAAAAGTATTTTGGTATTTTAGAAAAATATTTTGCTAAAAATGGCACTTTGGACATTCAATTTTATTTTGAACATGTGTTGTATTAAAGGAATACAGATGAGAAAGAAGAGGGGGAAAAACCATTATAGCTCTCAAACAGGCTATCAAATGAGCTAAATATGCAATAAAATTGCACAAATAGTACCAAAAGAAACATATAAGAGTCATATAGTGGGTGGTACACAAATTAGTCTTACACAAAACAAGCGGGCTACGTTGATGCAGCCATTCAGTCTTGAGAAGCGTGCAAGGGCTTAAAAGCAGTCACCAAGCTTCCACACAAAAGCAAACATATTACATACAGAATAAGAATAACTATAGTACATGTTTTGACTCTGCGCAAAACTCGTTACAAAAGGATGAGGGAGAGAATGTCGTCCAACAATCGACAAAAAACAGTACAATATGCCGACCAAAAATAATACTCACCCTTATTCTCACTTCATTAGGAACATATACTCAAGCATGCACGCCAAGTTCGAGCCTCAGCGTGCGGCTTATGTCATTGGATCCAACGCCGACGAACTGAATGGGGCCTGCCAATTTTATCATCACAATTACTTGTAGGTTAGTATTACTATCATTATCCTAAGAGAAGCTATGGTTAAGCAAAAAGATTAACAGTAAAAAGTACCAGGGCTGATATATCTGTTCTTAATGGCCCATTCATCCCTCTTAGATGCAAATTCTTGAAAAGGTGCACCTGAAAATTAAAAAAGAAAACAACTCGTCAAAATGGTTGTTCAAACCAATTTGAGTTGGGAGACAATTCAAAAAAAAAAAAAGAGTTGGGAGACAATTCAAATGGAGTATTGTCTAACCATCAAGCTCCACCATTGCTTTCTTGATCACAGGCTTGAACTTACCTGTAAGATGCAGTTCAACATAGCGGTTATGATCATCTTGAAATAATAATAATAATAATAATAGTAATATTATTAATATTAATAATAATCTAAGAGGACCCTGATATATTATAAATTACAATAATTTACAACAAAATGTTTGCCCAGGATGCTACGATATAATGACCATTATCCTCTTTTAAATCAATCCAACAAAGTAACGAGTATAATCATTATCATAAGCTCATGATTTCTCGTAACATATTAATTGCTGTCAGCATATAAGTGTGTCGAATATATTGCAAGACTCATAAAATATCTAAGCAACTTTATTACACTGACTCACAAACTCACCAATCCCTAAAAGCTTGTCTGGGATCGATTTTATTTATTTTATTTTATTATTTTTATAAAAATATTTATTTAGTATAAAAATATTTATTTGTTAAAAAAAAAAAATTCTTGTTGTTTCAAATGTTTTTAAAAAGGGACATTTACAGACGTACCTCCAAATTCTTATGTATTTACATATCTAACACCAAAATTTTGATTTTTCACATTTAGCATAAATGTAAAAAAATTGAAGTTTTGTTGTAGACATGTAGATATTAAGAATTGAGTTGTACAATGAACTATTATCCAACATTTTTTTATTAAGAATTGATTTGTACCATGAACTAACTTCCTTTTAATACTAATTATACCAAGCTTCAACATTTTTTAATTCAATTCAAAACATAAAACAAAAATAAATAAATAAATAAAACAAAAGGGATACCACAAATAGCCCTTTAAAAACATAACCATGAACAAGATATTGAACCAAAAGCGTCAATAACTGCCAAATGATTTACACTTCGCCAAGCGAATAAATTGAACAAAATGAAAGGCTCAATATTCAGAAAGAGTTGAATATTTACAAGAGAACAAGTTTGCACTTTCATGTTTCCTCCGAATAGTTTCCAATCAACAAAAAAAGGTTTCACTTTCTTAAAAAAAATACTAAACATGAAATTTTTAATGTGTTCAAAAGCATCACACAGTGCAACTTTCCTCCCAAAGACTACAAAGACATCTATCTATTCAAAGGCACGTGAGCAACCAATGCTCCTTTTGGCATCAAATTCTTTCTTCTTCAACATAAAGATAGAATTACTTTTAAATAGAAATAAAAGAAAAAAAAACTCGTAATAATCAGCATAGCCTTCTCCAAAGTGTTTCAGGTTCATATTATGGGTCCTCATTTTTATTTGTTCTTTTCGAGTCCTATATCTATTTGTCATAAATCATTTTGAACATCCATCCATGAAAACATTAGGTTTGTCCTCTTTACCTAATCCCCAAATCTTAAATATTAGAATATTAGCCTACAATTTTTATTATCTTTTATTTGCGGTATTTATTTTTCTCCTAATGTTACATGTCGCTCTGTTGAAGTGTAACATGTTATTTGTTAGTAAGCTGACACATGACATGAAAATCATCTCTAATTTTAATTTTATAAAATTTAATTTTAACTTCTATAATATCCTCTTATCAAATAATGGCATTTTTTCATTTTGATCATCCAACCATAAATCTAGAAGTTATATTTGCAAGTATATCTCCATTCTTTTATATAATAGGTCAAAATACTTAAATACATCACACGTGGGTATCACCTTATCTTCTAAATATATTCAATGATAACTACTAGCATCATAAATACTAATATCACATTTCATATACTTAGTCATTGTTCAATTAACTCTTAAGTATCTTTCTTCAAAATATTTACTATATTGTTTCAATTTTTTAATTATTTCAATAGATATTTCACTAATTAAAACTATATCTACAAAAAGCATAAACAAGGTACCTCGTCTTGAATATCCTTTCCAAATATTTCCATAACCAATCAAAAAGATAAAAGTTCAATATTAAAAATTGAAGTTAATGTTTTGTCATGCAAATATCTAATAGTGTCAACATACGTACTACTGAAGCATATTTTTCAGTTTAACCATCCAACCATAAATCTAGAAGTTATATTTGCAAGTATATCTCCATTCTTTTATATAATAGGTCAAAATGCTTAAATACATCACACATGGGTATCACCTTATCTTCTAAATATATTCAATGATAACTACTAGCATCATAATTACTAATATCACATTTCATATACTTAGTCATTGTTCAATTAACTCTTAAGTATCTTTCTTCAAAATATTTACTATATTGTTTCAATTTTTAAATTATTTCAATAGATATTTCAATAATTAAAACTATATCTACAAAAAGCATAAACAAGTTACCTCGTCTTGAATATCCTTTCAAAATATTTCCATAACCAATCAAAAAGATAAAAGTTCAATATTAAAACTTGAAGTAAACATTAGTTAATGTTTTGTCATGCAAATATCTAATAGTGTCAACATACGTACTACTGAAGCATATTTTTCAGTTTAACCATCCAACCATAAATCTAGAAGTTATATTTGCAAGTATATCTCCATTCTTTTATATAATAGGTCAAAATACTTAAATACATCACACATGGGTATCACCTTATCTTCTAAATATATTCAATGATAATTACTAGCAACATAATTACTAATATCACATTTCATATACTTAGTCATTGTTCAATTAACTCTTAAGTATCTTTCTTCAAAATATTTACTATATTGTTTCAATTTTTAAATTATTTCAATAGATATTTCACTAATTAAAACTATACCTATAAAAAGCATAAACAAGGTACCTCGTCTTGAATATCCTTTCCAAGTATTTCCATAACCAATCAAAAAGATAAAATTTCAATATTGAAACTTGAAGTAAATATTAGTTAATGTTTTGTCATGCAAATATCTAATACTGTCAACATACGTCCTACTGATGCATATCTTTTTATCTCAAAGCATAACATATTAATTTCAATAAATACTCAACCGTCTAGTTTCTCAGAATCAATTCAAATCAAATGAAAGTCATTTCTTGTCGTTATATATTTCCCAATTGATTATCTTAATGCAAAAAGCATTGCTAGAGTAAACCTACTATAATTCTAAACCCTAATCTCTCATTCAAAAGCTCCCATGTTTGCTCCTCTCACACACCAAACCCGAGCCCTAAGTCTCTCCTCACTTTTCATTGTCACCCCACAAACTCCGATACAACCTCACCTTAGTTACCGGAAATCCTCCCCAAATTCTAAATCCTTCCACCATACCTTCCAAAACTATTATAAAAGGTAAGTGATATTTCCATTAAAAAAAAAATCCGCTACAAAGTTTGAAGGCGACATTTTGGATAGTGGCCAAAAGCTAAATCAACTATATGTCAAGTTCTACAATGTTGATAAATTTCCCAAGGTACAAAAACAATAAGAACACGACAATAGTAAAAATAAAAGAAGCAATAAAAGAAATGGCATCGATTCCTTCTTTCCCAGCAATGAATCAATTAGAGATCTAAAAGGTGGAATTGTTAATGCTGTAAAATCACAAAACTGTTAGAATTAAGTACCATGTCTCCTCTCGACATCCATTAATGCAGTCAATGCGGTTCCTCCAACAGACCATGCCTCCACAGGTGCAGCTAAGTTACCAACCTTCACAGATACAGTAAGGCCCAAAAATTAATATTATGTTTAAATAATTGTTTAACAAAATAAACATTTAAAAGATATTTTAGGATATTAGCAAAAAAGTAGTTGTATAATATGCAATTTTGTTGGGTGAAATACTAACAATTACAAATTGATATTACTAGAAAAAATAGTGATATTTAAGTGTGATACATTTAATTATAATAATAGGGATAAAAAATATATAACTTCTAGAAGTAAATTTGGGTATTTCAAAGGGAAAGTTCCTCTTAAGCATTACACAATAAAAAAATAACACTTGAACTAAAATATTATAAAATTGTATTTAAACTAGCTATAACGTAGAGATCCAAGTAGAGAGTAGAAATAAAAACTATTGATAGTCAAGTTAAAATAAGAATATTCATGTTGATGCATGGAAAAACAACAAAAGATGGATTAAGAATAATAATAACTAAAGGCGGGATAGGTGTAGTATCAATTATAAATAGAATTGGGCGTTTGAAAAAATACAAAAAAATCTGCAAAAAATCACCCACAAAGAGGGCAGATAAAATTAATGTCCAAGGATTAAAACAAGTGAAGATTTTGGAAGAAAAAATACCTATAAGAATAACGTAAACATGGATAGAAGTTATGTAAAAATATTTACAACAAAATCGACTTTAAAACTTACGCAACACTTAGCAGATATGTTTTGAAAAATGAGATTTCTAGACACCCACCCTTGAATAGTTGGATTTCAGCAGAAAATCATAAATTATAGATGATACTGTCTATGAACAATAATAATAATAATAATACCATCAAACTTAGTAAGCACTACAAAAGTAATAATAGGTGAACAGCATAATCTATATCATACCAAACAATAATGCTATTAACTATTTATAAGAAGAATCCACCTATAATGCATTTACACTTTATAACGACAAAGTATATAGTGCCCAACACATGATTTGCCATATGCCCCACACATGCGTCACACTTATTAAACACATTATTAGTGTGCCCTATTGAAAATAATAATAGTAAATAAATATAGTCCAAATATTCATGGGTTAAGTGAATCAGCGTAACAAGAATAATTGAAAAGCTAAAGAGTCGAATACTATAAAGATGTTTTATTTTTAAGAATACAACTCAAATATGCCTTTAACAATTATTTTATTTATATTGTGTCTTTTTCCAAGGTTTATTTTTTGTTTCTTTTGCATGAGAACAGAGTTAATCATAATATAAATAGAATTGCAAGCAATTTATGTTTATTAATTTGTGCAATTTTGATACCGGAACTAATAGAGAAATAGTAGAAACACCAAAAACAATCTTTCATTAACATTAAAATAAGATTACATCATGAATCAAATGGAAATAACAACACACAACATGAAACGGCGCCAACAACACTTCTAAATGTATTCCAATAGGTTGTGGAGATCGGCAACGTGGGTCAGGATGGCTAGCAGAGGTGGTGACAGCAACAGAGTGTTGATGACAGCAAGGGGAAGGTGTGGAATTGAAGCGACAGCAAGTGGGAACGGTTGTGGGTGGTCGAAAGTGATCGTGTGGTGGTTAAGAGAAGCTTGAAGTGGTAGACAATTAAGGGAAGTGAAAGAAATAAGTTTGGAAGGATAAAAGAGAAAGATACAATCACCATCACAGAGGGGATACAGCCGAAGCACCACCACCTCCTTGGATACACCCACAAAGGGGAAGGAGACTCCACACAAGGGATCTGAAACTAAACACACTCAGAACTGACTCCTCACACACCTAGAACTGCAATTTATAGGCTTCCACTGGACAAAGGAAGCTTCCACACAAAGGAAAGTGGTGAAAAAGACAAGATGAATCCAGAAATTCTTCCCAGAAAAGATCTGGTGCGAAATAGCTCTTTCGGATAGCGAGACTTCACAATCCCTCTTCCCTGTACTCATGCGGGTTCTCCCACAGTCGCAGCTTCACGTGGCTTCCCTGCTCCCGCGACGGTTCGTAGGATATCACGATCTGCTTCCCTCTCTTTCGTGTGAGATCATGATCCTGCAGATCCACGAAGCTTTGCGGGTCCTCTGGCCTGCAGGATCAAAGCTACAAGGGGGCCCTATGAGCACCCGAGTCAGTTTCCCGGGAGTTGGGGGAGCTTCGACGTCATTAGTAGAAGCTTCTGGTTCTCACCCACCGTTCCTGCATCCCACTAGTGATTGTACTGTCACCCGAGGGTATTTGAGAGTCTTCCCCCTCTTATGAGCAAATGTCCATATCGATTTGTCTTTTCCTGAAGTTATGGACCATGCCTATATTGTTGAATCTTCAAAAAGTAATCCACGATCGGTTAAAACGGGCATGTAGTGGTATTAATCGGACCATTATCGCACTGTAGTAGTGCAGATGATACGGCATTGTCTTGACATAACCTTGACTGTATCTATCATGTATCGAGGGCGGATGCCTCTGTACTCTCGTCTGGTGTCAACACTAAAACTGATTCCACTGACGTCGTTCTGTTGAAAGGGGATCCTCTGACCTCGGACTCCATCGAAGGAAGAAGGGTAATACGTTTTATGTCTTTCGAGAAAAATATGTGTTGTTATATCAATCGTAATGAGTCCTTCAGTCATATTGCCACGACACGGGTTTTCCACCAGGTAGAACTACTGATCAGTGCCTTCCCCCATTCGGTCATCTAGCAGTAGAGGTGTACATAAGTTGAGTCGAGCTCGAGTCGCCCTTAGCTTCAGTTTAAGCTTGATTAATTTATTGAGTTCGAGCTCGAGCTCAAGCTTACATTTACAAGTTTAAGCCAACTCACAAGCCGACTTGCTTATTATTAAGGAGAAAATGATATGAATTTAAGCTAATTTGTAATAAAATGAGTAATTAAGAAATAAAAAATAAAAAAACACTCGATATAAAATGTAAAATTTATTTTTTTTTACATTTTTAATAATATAAAGATAGAACTTTAAATTTTAATATATTTTGAGTATATTTTATATTAATTATTTTTTAATAGAGCCGACTCACGACCTAACGAGTTGTGTCAAGCCTGACTTGACCTTGGCTTGTTAGCACATCGAGATCGTTTCACGAGCCACTTATCGAGTCGAGCCCGAGCTGGCTCACCAGTCGACTTGGCTCACTTTCACCCCAAGATGACAACACTCTGGCATAGCCAGATTTGTTGAAGTCGGCTTGTTCAGCTGTTGCACAAAGCAAAAGAGGGTTTCAACTCCATTTTTTTTGCACTCCACCTTCAAAGCAAGGTTAGCATCACTGAGCGACCAATAAGGTTGAAGATGAACTACATTAGTTATAGAAGGCCTCGAACCACCCAAAAATCATGCAATAGTGTGTTCTTTAGGTTCAGACAAATTACATTTCAATCTGTGATGCTCGAATTTACCTACATCTCATGTTGGTGTAAATGATGAAGACGGATGAAAACCTCTTGCCAATATTAATCCAACAAAAAATTGCACTGTGATTCATTTTTCATCTACTCCACGTAGTAATCTTGAATCGCTCTTCTCTTCGTCTCGTCCGCTTCAAGTTTTCCCACCGAATGGAAACATTCTTACTCAACTTGATAGCAACAAGCTTCATAATTTGAAGTTGGGGCTCCTCTTTTGAACTCAACAATTTTTTCGATGCTATGCAACCAATTAATAAACTCATCCAGGTCTAGACGTCCTTCAAAATCAGGAATATCGATCCTAATTCCAAGATCAGAGGCTTTGTGTTGTCTAGCATTCTTCCATGCGCCAAAGGGCTGCTTGTCTTTGCTAGAAGTTTGGTGAAAACGATTTTCATCCCCTTCTTCCACTGCCTCGTTATCATGTGCCACTGAAAATTCCTCCTTAATTTTTTGCTCCAAGGCTGCAAGCCTCTTCTACATACGTTGGTATTCACGCAAAAGATCCTCCATGGACACTTCTTGATTGATTCTTGGCACTTCTTGCGTGGGGGGCATGATTTTTTGATGGAAAGTTGTAGAGGAAAGGAAGGATAGGAGACCTCAAAAGATCTGAAGCCAAATCATCATAATTGGGAAAAAATTGTAACTGAAGAACAACCACACAGAAATTCCACTAATTTCTGTGTTCATGAGAAATCTGGAATCAAAAACATCCTGAACTGAAATACAACAAGAAAATTCATGGAACCAAAATTCAGAAAACGTTCAAGAATCGCAGAATGTTAGAATGAACCTGGAATTCAGCCTTCCCTTGTAACAGAAACACAACAGGAAGAATATAATATGGGCTTCAAGATCTTGCCCGCATAAAGAAAACAGAAGAAATGAGCAGGAACTGGAAGAAGAAAGAGAAGAAATGTGCCAGAACTCTGCTCTGATACCAAATGATGTGGATTGGTACCACAACAGAAAAATAAAACAGCCACAAACAGGAAGAAAGAAATCAGCCACAACAGAGAAAAGATAACATAACAATGGGGATCAACCGATAATAGCAAACTGAGAACAGGATACAATGGCTAAGACCACCTGAGAGCCACCTCAAAATAGAGCCGCAAGGGAATTGGTAGGAGAACCGAACCACTTTAGGAAAAACCAGAAAACTACCTCCAAAAACTGATTTCAATACACACAAAACCCCTATTTAGAAAGGCTAAACTCTCCTGATTTCAAGTATGTCATCCTAAAACGAAAGACAAATAATAAACTAAAACACATAAACCAAAACATATAAACTAAAACAAAACTCTAGCTCTACCGTCAGAATGTGATTAACATTGGTCTATAACATTGGCAATGGCTCAATATGACCCAATCCATAGCAGCCAGACAGTTATGGTATGAAACACAAGTTTGCACATGTTTAATGGGCTTAAATACGTGAATTTTGAACAATCTCACAAGGTTGGTCCTCAATACAATAAAGTTTATGTTTATGACAGCCTAAATGTCTGTTGTTTTTTGCTTCAGCTTTTATTTCAAAGACAGTCATGGATTTATAAAAAATCTGATACTAACCCACACTTATCCAACCTTAAAATTAAACACAGCCGCAATAATATACATTTAAAACTTTGTTTATCAAAGACAAATAAAGCTAAAAACCTAAATTCAGCACAAACATCTTTTATTCTACGAAAACTTCAGGACCATAAATATCCTTTACATCAGTTACAACTTTAAGCAAGCAAAGACAATTTGTTTAAGTCAGCATTGACTAAACGATCTAACATAAAAAATATGGCATAGGCTGCTTTTAGAGGCAACTGCAAAGTACACTAAAAACTAGAAAAAGTTGTCTAAAGAACAGAACTAGAAGAAAGGAATAAAAGGACTAACTGAAGAAATTAATCCAGTCTTTCCATGCTGGAGAAGGGCTCCTGCACCATAACCCAATGCATAGCAATATGTCGCATCAAAATTTGTGGGCAAACCACACCTTCCTTCATAGCTGTAAGATAAGAATTATATTTCAAAACAACCGTGAAAAAAATATGTATACAACTAGCATGAAAAATGAGCAGCTGTTAATGTCTAACTAAATGTACAAAAAATGATTTAAGCAAATGTAAATGGAAACATTAGATTTAGTAATCAATAAAACAAAAGAACAGGAAAATGCATCCACCCACTATAAGAAATAAAATTATTCCATAAGCATATAAAAAGGCTGAAAAGATAAACTCACCCAAAAAAGTGGGACTGTCCTTTAAAATTGTATGCATACTTTCCCTCCAACTTTCGTTTCTCCAATTCAGTTTCAACCATTGAGATCAACATTTTCTCAGTCTCTATTTTTGCAACCTAACCAAAGGAGTTAAAAAAGCTTATTGCAAGATGAAGAAAATTTTCATTACACATCAAATGGCAGAGGAAGTGATGCTCCAAGTACCTGAACATTTCCATGAGGATCTCTTTCCAAAAGAAGCTGTTCCTGGATTGCTTGGGGAAGGAATTCAAACAGTGCAAGGGACTGTTGTGTGAGCTTCTTTTTCCACTGCCCATCTTGGTCAACAACACCATGAGCCAATATTTCATTTAGCTCTGAAATAAGAGTCTGAACCTGAATCACATAGTTGCAACAAGTAAATATCATTGGATCAATCTACTCGGAGGAATCTAGAAAGTTACAAAAGAAGTCAAGCTTACTAAAAAGGCATGTACTATATGGAGCAAGAGAAAATATTTTGAAAGTATGTCACCTCAGGGATAAAATCAATTAAGCCTTCTGGAATAAGTATGACACCATAGTTGTAACCTAACTCTGCACGCTTGCATATTATTTCAGTAATGTAGTCTGTAACATTTTTAAGAGTTTGCTTCTTGGCTGAAACCTGCAGCAAATTAGCTGAAAATGTAAAAATTACAAGGTATGTTTCCAAGGCATATTCTTCAACAAATATATGAAATTTATGAAGAACAATCATGTAACGACTTCTACTGAACACCCAAAGAAGTAATAGGATTGTGCTATAAGAGGGAACATGTAAGTTCTCAGCATTGACATCCTAATAAAAGTAGAAGACACATGCTGCAAGCGAAAAAATCATGAATCATTTGGCATGAATTAAGTTAACAATAACCTGGATCTTTTCCTGAATTTCACCAAGGTTTTTAACACGACTTTTTTTGTTTATTTTATTTTATTTGTGGTGAGACATGAAATAAAAATATGGTTGGAATTCTTACATATTTATCATTTTTCAAAACAAAAAAACATAAAATATGATAGGCTCTTCAGCCAGAAGTGATCTGATCTCAACTCTCTCTTCTCTTTGACTAGCTCCCCCAATGTGCAGCCGGCATCCAGCCTGGTCCTCTTCTGCCTCAATAGCCCACCATTTCTCTTCGTCAATGACTCTCAAAATCAACGCCAATAATAACCCAACAATCTTGGTTGCCTACGGGTTGTGGTCCCCAATCGAAAAAATTGAATTGAGAAAGGCGGCGAGGCATGCACTCAGAGCACATGAGCCCCTATAGGTCACAAATTATACTATGGAGTATGTTGGGGCTCTTCTTTGTTAGAAACAACAACAATAGAAACAAATCGAAGCTATCGAGTAGAGGGTAAAGGTGGTGGTGGGTGTGGCAATAGAGTCATTGTCCGGAAAGAAAGTAGCAAAGATGTAGCAGTCAAAGGAGTTGGACAATAGCGCATGGATCTACCCATTGATCTTCCTCTACATCCGTAGAAATCATGATAATTGTGTAGATCTCATCCCATGCTCATCACAATGACTCGTACATGTCAAAGTTTTGAGAAAAATAGGTTGAATTTTGAATAGGCTCGCTGTCTTTTCCCTTTACTTTCATTCAATTAAATAATAATCTTACCATCTATTTTAGATACAAAATAAAGTGCATAATCTATTTTAGGTAACTTAATAATACATATTCTCAATCTAAATATTCAGCTAAAAGAAAAATAAATCAGAATAAAAATATTGAAAATAATTTAAATAAGGAAGCTCCTAATTATAGAAAACTTTTAATGTAGTTGTCTGATTTTCATCCTTCAAGATTGACATCCCCCACCAAATTGCCAACAAGAAATTGATAACACTGTCGGGACCAACAATCCTCAAGTCGTGAGTGCTAAAGCCGAAAGTCCTGAAACTGAGAATTCAAATCATAGCCACAAGAAGGATCTGCTTCCAGTTACACTTCCAATCATAGCCCACCAATAGGATTCAGTTCCACGATCCAGATGCTATCGATCTTAGCCTACAAGTAGGATACACATCCTAATCCAAATGCTACCGATCATAGCCCACAAATAAGATCAGTTACACGATCCAGATGTTATCGATCATAGCCTACAAGTAGGATCGCGTCCTGATCCAACTGCTATCGATCATAGCCCACAAATAGGATCCAGTTACATGATCCAAATGCTATTGATTATAGCCTACAAGTAGAATCCGTGTTCTGATTCAAATACTACTGACCATAGCCCACAAATAGGATTCACGTCCTCTTAAACGATCTAAATGATATTGATTCTTTCTGCGACGACGAGGACGATTTGTTTCATGATCTTCACGTCAAAAGTGCTAAAGCCGAGATCCTGAAGTCGTGAGTGCCGAAGTCGAGATTATCGAAGCCGCGAGTGCCGAAGCCGAAGCCGTCAGTCTAGGAAGGAGTGTCGAAGCCTTCAATCCTTAAGTGCAACAAAGAGGCCAAAATCGAAACGGACGAAGCCAATGTGGAATAAGCAGTCGAAAATGTCGTAGAAGCAGCGATGGCTAGCGAAGGAGATCTGAAGAAATAATGAGACGACGGGTAGACAAGTGAGAATCAAGGCAAAGAAATAGTTCCTCCATTCCCGTCCTGAAAGAAAGCCGGCGGGAAATGAGTCTTGACGGTACTCCAACAATTATCGGTAGTTAGGGCAAAAATTTTGCTTTGATACCATGTCAAAGTTTTGAGAAAAACATGTTGAATTTTGAATAGGCTCGATTCTTTTCCCTTTGCTTTCATTCCATTAAATAATAATCTTACAATCTATTTTAGGTACAAAATAAAGTGCATAATCTATTTTAGGTAACTTAATAATACATATTTTCAATTTAAATATTCAGCTAAATGGGAAATAAATCAGAATAAAGATATTAGAAATAATTTAGATAAGGAAGCTCCTAATTATAGAGAACTCCTAATGTAGCTGCCTGATTTTCGTCCTTCCTGATTGACAGTACAACCATCAAAATCCTAGATTTCCTCCTGAACAGTTCCATCTCACTCCATGAAACTAGTGTTCTTCCCTCTATAAGATAAACTATATCGGTGTTAGCAAAAGAGCTTGCACATCCATTATCGAAGAAAGAAATTTAAAAATATATCAATCTTAATTTTAGTTTTTTTGAAGAAAATAGCTTTATTTTAAGAATTAAAAGATAAACAAGTACAAAAATATACATTAATATATTTTAACTATTTTTCAAAAATAAAAATAAAAAGTGATCCCAAACACAGACTTAAATTTACAATTTTAAAAGTTCCTATTAAATTAATGCAGACAAATCTAAAATTTCCTTCTTAATTCTTACAAAAACAGAGAAGCAACTCAGCAATTAGTAATTCTATGAACTTCGATGTGATTGCTCAAAGGTCATATTTTGAAAATAAATTAATATAAGGCGTTCATGCTGTCCATTAAAAATATAATTGCAATGAACCGCAGTCAAATGAATTATCTAGCAGACAAATTAATGATTAGTGAGTGATATTAAAATACCTTACACTAGAATATGATATTATAATATGGCATACAAAATAAAATGCAAGTGAACAAATCAAGTACCTCTTCCCCAATAATTGTTACATTGGGATGTGTTTGCAGAGCACATTCCAACGTAATGTGAGAAGCAGCACGGCCCATTAGTCTCACAACTGCATAGAAAAGTTAAAAACAAATAAGGAGACAGTAATATATTTAAAAGAAAAAACTTAATATAAAAATGATTATGGCTGTAATTTGATTTAAAACCTCAAAATTGTCTAATTGTAAGTACATATTATCAGGCTTTTTATTACAAAACTTATTTGCAATTATCCAAGTCAAAGCAGCAATGATAATTAACAGTGGTTTACCAAAACCAATGCCCAAAAGCTTAATTTTAATTTACATAGAATCACACAGCTTTGGGTGCATTTTAGAAGTATAGAACTTGTTCCCGTATAACTGAGGTTACTTTTGTTCATCAGATTTTAGTCTTCGTATTTCGTCTTGGGTCAACTCATAAATTTGTAGCATGAAGTAAAAAGAAAGATTTGTTCAAAAAATATAAAGTGCTCATAACATGAGCTTAAATAGAGCATTGCAAAGTTCTACAAATAAACCCTTAAACTTCTTCAATATTCCTTTCTTTGCAATAAGGACCTGAAATAAGGTCCAATTCTCAACACTCCCTTCAAGATGGGAAAAAGTATTCACTAAGCCCATCTTGTCACATAACCTAGACAAATTTAAGGAACTAAGTCCTTTAGTGAGGCTATCAACCACTTGCTCTCCAGTGGCGATACCTACCCTTTGCAGCCTCTGACACTATTATATACTCAGCTTCTGTAGTAGATAACAAAACTGTCTTCTGCAGATTAGAGCCTCATGACACAGTTGTGCCACCAATAGTATAAATATAGCTCGTAGTACTTCTAATATCAATGTCTCCAACTAGATCAGCATCAATATAACCCTGTACCTCTCAACTCTTTCCTGAAAAACATAAGCAAGTTTCTGAAGAGCTTATTAGGTACATCAAGATCTACTTCACAGCTTCTCAATGTTCCTTTCCAAGATTACTCATGTATGCATGGGCAATATCCGGTCTGATGCAAATCATAGCATACATAAGTAAACCAATAGCTGAAACATAAGTAACCTTACTAATGTGATCTCGTTCCTCCTCTGACTTGGGTGACTGATTCTTGTTGAGTCTGAAGTGACTGTCCAAGGGTGTGCCAACTAGTTGAGTTTTATTCATATTGAACCTGCTAAGTACATCTTTCACATACTCAGCCTCAGAGAATCTCAGCGTGCCTCTGACTCTCTCTCTAACAATTCTCATGCCAATGATTTGCTTTGCTGCTCTCAAATCCTTCATTGGAAAGTGCTCTCTGCAACAGTAATATCCCTAACAATTCTCTGCTTGGTTTACGGGAAAAGGAGAAGGGGCTTCGCAAGTTTCACATCCTTGGTTCTCTCCTTCGGTGGCTGACGGGTAGAGGAGAGAGAAAGGAAGAGAGAGAGAGTGAGAAGTGAGACTCTTTCTTGTAATTGTCGACGTGAACGACGACGGTGTAAATTTCCCAAGTAATAAAATCCTCTGCAATGTCGTGGAGGTAGGCAATTTGCCGAACCACATAAATCTACGTGTTCCACTATGTTCTTTTCTGGTATGAACTTTCTCGTTCTATTTTTTTTCGTTTCATCGTCGATTATTCTAATTTTATATACCACAACAAACTTAGCTCTAACAGCCCGTCATTCCTCTTTTCCTTGATGAAAAATCTATCTATCTCCACGTGTTTGATTCTATCATGTTGCACCAGGTTGTTGGCAATGTCGATTGTTGATTTGTTATCACACAACTTTATTTGAGTTCCTTGGTCCACCTAGAGTTCGATCAACAAACCTCTCAGCCACATCATCTCAGCAACTCGTAAAGCAATGGCTCTGTATCTTGCCTCTGTTGTTTACCTCATTGCTAGAGTTTGTTTCTTGTTTTTCCAAGAGAACAAATTGCCCCTACAAACATGAATTATCCTGAGGTGGATCTTTTGTCATATGCACAAGTCAGCATGACAAAACCAATGTCTACATGCTCATTCTTCCTAAAGATCAACCGCTTCACTGATGCACTCTTCAAGTACCTCAGAATCCGATACACTAAATCCATGTGGCCTTCCTTGGATCATACATGTGGCGGCACACTAAACTCACTGCAAAAGAGATGTCGGTTCGAGTATAACAGATAGATCAGACGGCCCACCAATCTCTGGTACCTTTCACAATCAACCGGTCTCCTACCTCTGCACTCAGTTTGGTCTTCTGCTCATTGGAGAGACTGTAAGTGTGCACATCAGAATGTTTGTTTCCGTAAGGAGATCTATTACATACTTTCTTTAGGGCAAGACCATCCCTTCTAGTCAACGAGCCACTTCAATCCCAAATAAAAATATGAGCCCAAGATCCTTCACCTCAAATTTATTTCTCAATCATAACTTTAATTCGATAACCCCTATCTCATCATCACTTGTGATAATGATGACATCAACATACATAGAAAAGATAGTGGTGCAACATTTATGTTGCTGAAAGAACATCATATGATCTGCATTGATATGCTAATATCTCATACCCACCATAGTCTTTCTGAAGTTGTCAAACCAAGCTCGAGGAGGCTGTTTCAAGTCATTCGATGAATTCCTAAGCCTACACATCTTGCCCACTATCTGGATTGTCTTGAATCAGCGCAGTATCTCTATATATACTTTCTCCAGTAGCGCACCAAGAAGAAAATCATTCTTCATATCAAGTTGGTGTAACCTCCATCCACCATTCACTGTACAAGAAATTAGTGTCATCACTGTGCTCATCTTTGCTACTGGTGCAAAGGTTTCATCATAGTTAATGTCACATATCTGACTGTACCCTTTCACCACTAGTCATGTTTTGTACCGCTTCACATTCCCTTCTGGAGTTTGTTTCACTGTAAATATTTACTTGCTCCTAACTGCATTTTTCCCTATTGATAGTGGTACTATCTATCATGTTTGATTTTTATCGAGAGCCTCAAAATCTTCATGCAAAACCGCTTTCCATTTGATATCCTACTTAGCAACCTGTCAACACTTGAGTATAAAAACAGTCAAAAATGTAATGAATGCTCCATGTAAATGTGATATGTTGGAATATAAAACAAAGTTAGACATGTCATGTTCCCACCCATAACAATCGGGAGAATAACCCGCATTGTTGCGAGAGGTCTTCCTTAAAGTTGTGAGGTTAGGAGGAGAAGGAATCACATCATCTGAGGATTCTGAGTAAGAGTTAGATGGTATAAATGTCTCAAGAGTTGAGGAAAACTCAGACAAAGAACTTACTAACACAAGTGACACTACAAATAATGTTCACTCATTTTGCTTTCTTCTTCGTACAAACACACTTAACTCACTTTCATCCTGGATACTACCACCTCTGCGTTCGCTCTCCTCATTTTCTGAGTTCCTCAACTATTCATCCCACATCATAGGACAAAGCATTGCTCTCACATGTACTTATCTCTCACCATTACCTCTTATCTCCAGTATCCAACGGGTCACCGAAGGGTGATGTCACCTCCTGCGCGTAGTACGGTTCAATTTCTCTAAATGGTACATTCATGCTCACAAACAGTCTTCTCTATCAAACTCCAGCAAACATACTCCTGGATAGCAGAATAACCTACGAACGCATATTTCACAGCTTTGAGATCCAGCTTCCCTATTGATGGCTAGTTATCCATAAAACATACACAACCAAACATTTTCAATGGAAAGATCACGTTATTATCTCATTTCAACATGTGATAAGAATACTTCCAATCCAACACCCTCGAGGGCATCCTGTTGATCAATTGAACAGCTCTCAAAGTTGTTTGCCCTCATAAATGCTTTGAGACATTCATTGCGTCATCAAACTTCAGACTACCTCTAGAAGGTGTCCCTCTCTGCTATTCCATTTTGGGTCAGTGTATGGATATGTTTGATGTTGTATCTCTTGGGTTGACAAGTATTCCCCAAATGCTTTGCAGACCTCAATACCTTCACTATTGCACCATATTGAGTCTGGATTATCTTGTAGAAATCTTTAAAACAAACAAACACATCACCCTTATAAATAACGCAAGAAAAATAATCGATAAAGGTCACAAAATATCGGTAAACATTCATATAACTTGAAGAACAAGGTCCCCAAACATCATAAAGTATCAAGTCAAAACCACCAGAACTCCAATTCTCAAAACTAATATAAGAGCTCCTAGTAAGCTTGTCAAACTTAAAAACATCACCAACAAATTTTTGTTTATTTGTTTCTTCATGTAAAGAAGGATACAACCGACTCAATAAATTAAAGAAGAGTGTCTCATATGTTTGTGATGTAGAAGCAACACATCCTCTACACTACTCCCAAATTCTCCTACTCCAACGCTCTCTACCATGGATATCAAAGTTCAGTGCACCCCCTCTCAGTCCAAGTACCGGAATCCACTATGCCACGTTCCAATCTCAAGTGTTTGGCCCGTCCCTTTCTCTTGGAAAACCACCTTAGGAATATCAAAAGAAACAACAAATTTTAGTTGAAAAATAATGACACAAATAGATAAAAGGTTCACTAAAAAAGAAGCAATCAAAACATTAGACAAAATCATATAAATGGTACCTCTCACTGTACTCTTACAAACTACAGGCTGTGATGTATCATCAATAATGTGGATGCTCCCTAGTACTGCTGAGATAGGAATAAAATTTTCTAGCAATACCTGTCGCATATTGGGATGCACTGAAATCTACTATTCTTTTTGATGATCCTATGGTAGAGATAGAGATAAGTGCAGCACAGGTGTTTTTATTAGAGTGAGCATAAGTAGTAATGTTACACATTGATGATGACTGGTTAGAAACATCCTCAGCCCCATCTCCTGATATTTTTTGCTTCCTCTTCAACAACTCTAAACACTCATGATACTCATTGGTAAAAACAACACATCTCTCCCTCATTTGCTACCACCAGATTTGCTCGGTAGCCCCCTTTTCCACCTTTTCGACAACCACGACCACGACCACGGCCTCCACCCTATCCACGTCCTCAGATATCCAACCTCACCGCAATTGTAGCACTTTGATTCTCCCACTGAACAAATATCTTTACATGAGCTTGAGGCACCTAAAGTTGATCGTGCATCGGAAGGTTCACTCAGCTCAGAGTGTAGCTTCATGCAATTCTCTTCCTGTATCATCGCAACAATAACAGCATCCAGTGAAGGCATCGTCACCTGAGCTAGGAAGACTGATCTCCTCTGATCAAAGATTGGGTTCAGATGGGCCAGAAACTGCATAGTCTACATCTGTGTAAAGATCTCTCATTTCTTGCACTCTGGATCGCCACAGCTCGGCATAGGTGAGAAGTGATCAAGAACTGCCCGCAGCCGCATTAAACCTACGATGTATTCCTGAATCGATCTATCACCCTGTACAACTCCTATCTCCCGTTGAATCTAGATCACTCTCATGTAATTCTCATTCCCAACTTAAATTATTTTCAACTTTGCCTAGATGTCCCTCACCTTTCAAATGTCATCTATTGAGAATGCAACTGACGAAACCATTGAGTTGAGTAAATAAGTGTAAATTAAAGCGTGTGGTCTTCGATTTATCCTCCCTCAACAATGTCACTTTTTGCCTCGACCGCTATCGGATTTCACTCTAATATCTTCCCTACAAGAGCAGCCTCAATCCAACGTGACCAACTCATATATGTGGCGGTTCATCAAGTTTTAGATTCACAAAAGAGAAATTTAGTATTACCTGAGTCGGAGCAAGTACTGAAGTAGCAGCACCCATCAAGACGTTAGCTCCCTGAATGAGCCGAACGAAAGCCTTCAGAACTTCAAGATTTATCTTCCCCAAAAGCTCCAATTATTTACCTTTTGCATAATATACATCTCCTAACATCCTCAATCACAATGATCCAAGTCTAAATCACACAGATCACATGCAAATTTGATTCTTCGTGTTTGTACATTGTGATCATGTCAGAAATTGCATCTCAAGTATGCCATCACACAGTTTCCTCCTTAGTTAGCAATAATCATGACTGCACTGCGGGCGTTCACGCCGCGATCCGCTATTGTCTTCCCAATTATCTCTAATCGCAACTATATCTCAATCGCGAAGGTTCACACCGAATCGTAATTGTATCGCGATCGCGAGGTTCATGCCACTAGTCGATCTCGTCGTTGGCGTCGCAGTTAGCTCCCTCTATGATTTCCTCACCTCCGCATGGAATCCCTCGTGATGTAGGATGATCGCAAGGTTTACGCCGCTAGTCAATCCCGTCATTTGCGTCACAGTTAGCTCCCTTTGCAATTTTCTCACTTCCACGCACTAAGTTCAGGTGATGGCTTCTCCGGCAAGTTCAAGTGTCGGGATCTCTGTATGCCGATCCCTAGCGCCTACTGGGGTTAGGCTCGTGATATCAAAAAGAAAGGATTGTTCAAAAAAGCTAATCTGTTCAGCCATAACAGGGCTTAAATAGGGTATTACAAACTTTTATAAACAAACCCCTTAACTTCTTCAACATTCGCTTTTCGACAATAGAACCCTAAATAAGGACCAATTCTCACCAAAGTAGCTAGAGAACTATAAAAAAAGTCGAAAAATTTGCTTCATCTAGAATAAGTGACAGCCGCCTGACAATTTTAACAAAATGCTAACAGCTGCATCAAACACAAAGTTAATTTGCTCAGCCACACAAGCCTTATAATACAAGCCAGCTAATTCTGCATGAATCCTGAAGCAGCACGAAGAGCTTGAGGAAAGATAAAAGATGCAGGTGTACCGGAAAAATTAGTCACAAATAAAACAGAAACTTACAATGGTAATACTTTCCCGTAGAACGAGCATCTATCATAACATTTCCAATCATTTCGGAATAAATCTGAAATGCCGGAACAAGACAGTGTAAGCTAGAAATACAAACAGCATGGTTTTTTCACACGACAAAAGAATTAAATAACAATAAGTCTAACTTACATTCCTATAATGAAAAAAAGCAGCTTGAGATTCATGCACTGATTCAACAAGTAAATCAAGAATGTAAAGCATAGAGGAAGGTGGCTTGCTATATCCAAATCTACCTCATCACAGATTTTAGGTTACCTTGCAAGCTGTATCAAACCCAAAACTTGTGGGAACTTCCTTGCATTTTAGATCTCCGTCGATTGTTTTTGGGCACCCAATAACCCGAGTTTTTATATTCTTTTTTCTGACAAACAAAATAAAAGAAGCATTAGAATTCTGGGAGGCGTGATGGAGAAGAACGAAATAATCTATAAAAATTCACACGAGTAAATATCAGAAAGGTTTTATAATAAAATAATTTACCTGAAGTATTCAGCAAGAAGGCATGCATTTGTATTTGAGTCGTCTCCGCCTATAACAACAAGGCCATCCAAATTGAGTTTCAAGGCAGTGTCTTCAGCTTGCTTAAACTGGCACAACCAAATAAGAAAAGAAAAAAAATTAGCCAAAATGAATAAACATTGTAAAAAAATGGTTTCTATAAGGAATTAACTCCAGATATATTGAGCATAAGCACCTGTTCAGGAGTTTCAATCTTGTCCCTTCCACTGCATATCATATCAAATCCACCCTGTGCTCACATAAAATTTCACGAGTTACATTTAGCCAAGACTAATATAGGAAAGTAAACTACAAAAAATGTATTACATTTATGTTGAACCATTAGTTGGCATGCTTCAATAACCACTTGTAACCTTTTACAAGGAAATAGCACACAAGGAAAAGGTAGCACACAAAAGTGAGAAATGGCACTGAAAGCTGGCAGCATTCCATAAAATACGGAAGTCATTTACAAATCACACTAAATATGATATAAAATTAATTATCACATCCTTAAGTAATTCTAAGTCCATTATCTTAATATTGCTATGAAAAAAGCATTGAATTAAACGTACTGCACATAAGAAAATAATTATTCAAGTCAAACTTATGAAAATCAAAATGTAAGAGTTGAAATCATCAATACTCGTTGAAAGAAAAATTGAACAATTTCAGCTCAAGTAGATCAATTGAATTAGTCACTTCAGTCGTGACTTAAATAACTCCTTAACATGAAACGTATTAGAAATCGAAGATTACTCAAAGTCTAGACAATAATTTTGAGCCTCATGAACCCTAACCTTCAAGATACTGAAGCCAAGGTTTCCTCTGGTAGATTACGCACGTGGTCAAATCCAGGCTCAACATGGTGCCACAAGCTCTCACATGACAGAGAGGAGGAAAGGGCGAATGAAGGGAGAGCGGCAGATAAAAAAGAGAGAGAAAGAGAGAGCATGGCTTTGACATGTTACTGCAAAGAGATTCTTTCTTTTGGTTGTAGAAATGATGAGGGGACAGGAAAAAAGAATGAGACAGAATGACAGACATAAAGAGAAAATTTAAGCTAAGATGGAAAAGATATAAAGCGGTGAAAAAAGAACGCTATTGCCTTGAATGAAAATGAGAAAAAAATAAGGGGAATCATGGAAAAAAAAATAAAAGAGAACATTATTTAGTAAAGAGTGAAAAATGACAATAGACGAGAGACCAGGCTGGCCGCCCTATCTAACAATGCTTGATCTCGCTAACACTTGCTGCAATCAGTTATACGCTCTTCTATAATAAATTAAAATAACTTGTTGCTCTTTTTTACTTTTTTGGTAATTGCATTTGTATGAAAACCACCTCAAACTTTCATGCCAAAAAACCAAATTGGTTGTCATTCTGAAATGATTTTGAGGTATGATCTTCTCCCATATTTCCGCAGAATGACCGATAAATTTGGCTTCCCATACCTACCAATATTTAAATTCTAGTATAATATATGCTTTTCCTCAAATATTTGGCATCCTGGTCTTTAAAATTTCATCAAGCATTCAACATATTACAATTTCTTCCAAAACACTCCGTATCCTAGTAGCATCTCACATGGACATGATACTTACATTCATCACCTTCTTAAAATGTAACTCGGCTGCAAAATCATTAAAGAGTAATAATTGTAAAATTGGTATGTAGTGTAACTTTCAGTACAAATGTCAAACATAATAACGTCAATAGAAATTTGGCACAACAACAGGAAAGGACAAGGGGGTGGACTTGACAGGTACTAGCTGTTGAAATTTATAAAGCAGCTCAATATTTTTGATAAGATGAGGGGTATTTAAACTTAATTACAATAGACAATGATAAAAAAAAGAAATAAAACAGAGTAAAAAAACTAGGGAAAAGCAAAATAAAAAAATACAAAATAGAGCAAATAATAAATAATAACGGCTAAAGATTGCGTTATACTCTAATACAAGCCATATGTAACCCAATGCATATAAAAATGATACCATGGTCATAAAAAAGCACCATCAAGTTGACCTTACCACTAATGTATGGCGAATTCAAAAGTCAAGAAATTTACAATTTCATTGTTAATTGAAGCTAGAATGTGCTTTTGATTGAACCATCAAAACATCACAAAATCCTCATGACTTTGAGGAACTTGTTGCCATTCCAAGTGAAATCATCAAAGAGCAAAATTAATGCAATTGATTTCAAAATGGTTAAGATATGCACTAATGAACTGCAATATTCCTTCACGTGGAAAAATATTGTACATAATAAGAACTTTAAATGTTTAGCCCGCTGAAAAAAAAATCCTACTACAAAAGCAAAGAAGTAACAATATAAAATTTGTGGGAGAAGAAACTTAATAATAAAAATAGATAGATTCATGAAGGGAAACGAAGCATTATATGTGTGAAGGAATTAGAAAGTATTATAAAACAAAAAAGAATAGTCCAAAAGCAGCAAGGATAGTAGTTCTACAAAAATAATAATAATAACAATAAAAATAAATTTAGTAGGGAGTAATGAAAATACATTCATAAACTTGATAGCAAATCTATATATGATTCAAAAAGGGGTTTGTATTTCACCAGAAGATAAAATCTCAATCATTTGTTTAAAATTACAATTTCTAAAATTTAAATTCCTGTTTATTTCATATTTCATATTTATATTTAGAAAAATAAATTATTTACCACTTCTAATTTTTATTCCCTTTATTTTTAACAAACTTTGATTTCTCAAAATTTAATTTTCTATCCAAATTTTGATATTTTTTAACAGAATTAGATTTTGAAATTTTAAATATCTTCTTAAAACTTTCTCCTCTTTCAATTTTTCGAACTTTATGACTACCCAAAAATTAGTTTAAATATAAATTATTTTCTCAAACATTATTCTTAATTTCTCCCCCTGTTCTACTTTTTTAGTCTTGTTTACTTTCAAGATTTAGAATTTGAAAATTTAAAATTTATTGCTACAATTACGAGCTTAAAAATTAAAACAAAGCTATGCACAGTTGCATACTCTTTATAAGGAAATAAAATTAGACCTTGCTCATATTTTGTTATTTCATTCCCATCAGTTAGAATAATATAATTCATATTTTAGTAAAATTAACATAAAATGGTACAAATATAAAATTATTTGCTACTTAGTAGCAAACAAAGAGCTATGTACAATTAAGTTCATAAAATAGGAAATTACCAAGAATTATAAATAGAAAATTAATAGAAAGATGGATAATTTCGCCTGTTTGTAATATAAGAAAATAAATATAGATATAAAAAGTATAATTTAAAATGAAGATATATGATTCATTTTTAAAATGAAGGTCTTTGATTCCTTGCTGATATTCTCATAAGACGTGGTCATTTAGAAATAAAATGTTAAAAATATAAGAATACTCATGCAAATTTATGAGTTTATTAATTATTAAAAAATTACAATAGGCTTGAAAATACTATATATATTACAAAAATGATATCATGAACTTTCACTTGCGTGCATGCAGGGACAATTTAATTTCATTATGTTCGTATGAAAGTGATTTGATTTCACTTTCCCAAAACGAGCTCGAGCATCTATCAGAATAAAAGTGGATGCAGCTTAGTTCTCATTCTTGCAACTCAATTTCAAAATGATAAGAAGCAACCTTTGATCTTGTGGGATTGGAAATCAACTTCAATTTGTATTTCACTTTTAATGATAATAGAAAATTTTTCAATTAAAAGAATGATGGACAGAATATCACTTATATTTCAAAAAAAAAATAAAGTGATGAAAATAACACGGTAATTTAGAATAAAGATAATGTTGATACTGAAGAATTGAAGAATAAGAGCCAGTATTTTTACTAGAAGACATTGCAGCCGTGCCTCATCAACCAATGAAACAATAAACAAATAAAAATTATAGCTTGAACTCGTAATGATCGATCACTGTCTTCCCAGAGGTTATGTATTCATAGGGGAAGCAACGACTAAAATGCGCAAAACTCAAAAGCCAGCTAGCAAAAAACAATGGCGATTAACTGTTTAAATCCAACTCGTCAGATCGGTTTCCTTGATCCCGAACAAACAAAAAGAATCGTATTACCTGATTTCTGTAGGGATAAATAAACTCCGGCGTCAGCTCCACGTATTTACACTTCATGATACCGGCCGGGCCACCCCTGAACCCATAGAGCGTGCTCCCCTTAGCACGATCCTGCAAGTAATCTAAATGCAAAACAATAAACCCGATTTTTCCCTTTTAAGAAAATAATATGAATTTCACACCATCCCACATGTAAGAAAAGTAAAAGAAAACTTTAAAAAACTGTAATAGATGAACATCGCTCACCAAATAAACCAGAAATCACATTATGCCCGCCCGGGGCCTGCCCTCCCGAAAGCACAACACCGATCTTGAGACCTTCGCCCAGCTCCGTCGGATCGGCTGCGTTCGGCACCAACGATGCCGACGGCTGTGCGATCTCCTCTGCAACGAAATACAGAAAACGTCAGGACTGAATATTCAAAAGACACGAACAAATACATTTTTGCAAGATTCAAGCCCTCCAACAGAATATACTACATCCAAAAAGGTAGAAGTACACCAAAGAGATTTCATAAAATGCGAAAAAAGAAAAAAATCAGCCTAACCTGGATTCCCGGCGGCGGAGCTTGGCGGGCCGTCGACAATCTTAAAAGAGGACTTGAGAACGGAGGGTAAGGGGAGTGAGTGGTTAAGGCGGCTTGTCTGAACCTCACTGTAGACGGAGGCGAGGCGGCCGGTTCCGTTAATCGCCATTGCTGGAGATCGAGATCCGCAGAGATCGACAGCAGCGAACTGTTAAAGAGCCGAAGAAGGAAGGGCAACAACCAGGTCCAGTTGGTTGGTCCGTACTATATAGCCTGGCTTTATGAGCAAATGGGACTGAGATGGTAAGGTTAGAAAACGTGGTCCGTGTTTTCCAAGTGGGCCATGTGGATCGCAATGGATCGGGTCAGAGTGGGCTAGATTTTTTTGAGGTAGTTGTTGGGCCCATTGAGCAGCTGGGAACGAAAAATGGTTGGTGTTTAATATATATGAATGGATATTATTAGTAAAATGATGGGTGCTAAAATATATTTGTTTTTTAAAAAGAATTTTGCGTCATAAATCTTATTTTTAATAATTAAAGAAAAAAAAATTATAAATAATTATGTGAATATTGTGCATAGTTATTTATGTACTATTATTTTATTGTGTATTTATAGTCTCTTCATCTTGGCATAATAATTTTAGTGGAAAGAGTTGATGTTGTTATCAATAAATTTTTATCATCTCACACGAATTTTGAATTATTTTTTAATAATAAATTAATGATCATTCAGTGCCCCAATTTCAAACTAACTGTCTCAATTTAACAAGCCTAATAAAGCCAAAATATGTTCAATTCAAGTCCAGTTAAGTCAAGATCAAGTCATTAATTCGATTTGGGGCTTTAGCTTTTTAATCAAATAGATAAATGAACTCTAAATTTGACTTACATACTGTCAAATTAAGTGTTTCAATGAGAGGAATCCTAAAGACCCAAGATCACTTAATTTTGAGGTCATTAAGACTCTCAATTCATAAAAACATTTTATGATCAAGAGAGAGATGTGGGCATAAGTTTGCATCGTTAGGTATGGATTTGGAGACATTTGTTGAACAATAAATATTTTGGATTCAAATTCAAGATCATCTAGAGCTCCGATTTCAACACGTTTGCAATCAAACTGATTATTATGATAGGATGAGTCAAATGGAGCCAAATTGGTTCTACCCGAGTTCAATCAAGCATGGATCAAGCAATTAAATCACATTTAAGGGCTTCGTATCTCAAAATTTGGCGTGCATATGTTCAAATTGAGCATATCAATGAGAGGAATCCAAATAACCCAAGATCACACCGTTTTAAAATCATTAAGGCTCTTAAATAGTTAAAAAAAAAAAACTTTTATGATCAAGGGGAATCTGTGTGCACAAATTTTTATTATAACATGAATATCGAGACATTTTTTTAACAATAAATGTTCTAGATTCTAATTTAAGATCATATAGTTCCCCGATTTCAACACGTATACAATCAAACTGGCTGTCTCGATAGAATGAACCCAATGAACCCAAAATTGGTTCAATTTGAGTCCTTGCAAGCCAATATAAAACCATTAAATCACATGTGTGGTCTTTGAATATTAATTAAACACGCAAATGAACTATAATCATATATTCAAATTAAACATCTCGATGAGAAGAATCCACCAAGCCCAAACTCACTCAATTATGAGGTCATTAAAGCCCTCAAGTAAAAAAAAAAGGATTATGTGGACGATTCGAACCGGCAGTTACAAGAGTTATTCAACAAAGAATCGAAATGCCTCTCCTATAGGGGCTATAAATTTTAATGTTATTTTGGAATTAAAGACCCTGTGATAACTTATGGCCTCCGTAGTCATTGGCAACTGTCGACAAACACCAACAAACACCGACGGGTCACCATCGGCCTTTGTCAGCCACCCTTGTTCGCCCTTATCGATAAAATTTTACAATGTAGCAACTTATCTCAAATATAGTGTAACAATGCATCTCAAATACTATGTAACAAATAACGTCGTATTGAAGTTCAAGCGACAAATAACAAATAACTTGCAATTAACTCAATTATGAGGTTGTTAATTTTTGTGCCACTAGATCCATAACTCTAATTACAAAGCAGACATAAGAAAGTACTTAGAGCTTGAAAAAAAGTATTTACATCGATCTCATAATAATACACCCATGCAAATAATAACAAAATCTCTTAAATACCAGTTCAAACCAACAAGCCTAAATTCCTACATGTGCAATACAATAATCCTAAAATTTTTAAACTTAAGCGTATGAGAATGTTGTGTGAGCTAATTGCACGCTTATACTAAAATCAATTTTTCTGAAAAGCTATCCACATATTTTTGAAGCTTTACCAAAATCTTATATTTAAATAACAAATTGTACATGTTGTTAAGCGAGCCATTTTGGTTATAAGGTAGGTTTGTAAGTCTCACTTTGGCTAGTCCTACCCTCTTCTTTACATGGGTTGGAGTGGACAAGACAAGGTATTCATTGAAATAGTATGATCCTCGGTCTCGTGATGATTAAGATCTACAAATCTAGTGTTTTTAATGATACTTAAGTCGTTATGATTTCTTGATGATAGTTGTGTTGAATGTAAATCTCAATTGGAGAGAATTAATTCATCAAAGTTAAAGTTTTAAATCATAATTTCTTTAAGAAAATCAAATGAAATTTTATCACTCAACGCTTAAAGAAAAATCAAGTCACCCTTTGTTTGTCAGGGTGGATAAATTTGACGTTGACTCAAGATCACAAAGAGTCAATATCATATGAAGTATACTAATAAATTTATATTTAAAATAATCCATTTCAGTAAATATATGAGTTGAGTCTTTTATATGTATGATTTGGTTAGCAGGCTCAACAAAAGAATGAATTATGTTCAAAAGCCCTCTAACGAGTAACTTAGCCTCATGAAGTGGTTTGGTCAGTAAACTCTATTTTAAAATGATCATGATTGCAACTTGTTTGTTCTTCAATGGTATTTTGTCTCTTTGAATTATAAATCATAGGGTGTACTTAATAGGCCATGAAACTCTCTGTAAGTTAAGATCAACTTCAATTAGTCAACTCAGACAAAATATCATCTCAGATCTATAAAGTTCCCTTGGATGAAGCAACCTATGGTTGTTGATAAGGACCTTTTTGCAGTTCAGGTCAGCTGACTCCATTAACTAAATAGAACAGGGAACATGATAATCTGAAATGATAAAATCATGGGATCTTGATTGGTGCATCATCATTTCCCTCAAAATTTTCCTTAAGCTAAGAATAATAATTTTATAATTTTAAAACATAAAATTGTTCTCATTATATCTTAAGGCTAAATACTTTGTGTCTAATGACTAGCCTTAATCAAAAGTGATCTGATGTTATCAGGAGGGATAGTTAACCATAGAGACTTGCACTTATGGAAAATCTCAAACGTCATATCATAAATTCCACGTAAAATAAAGATGAAATCTATTGATAGTGTCTTATCTACTATCCATATGTCTTTTGAATATTTGACCCAAAATCTCTCAGTAAGCTCTCTCATTCTTTTTTTTTCTTTCTTTAAGAGGGAGGCTAGTGATTCAAATATTCGAAGCTCACACGTGGAAGAGTTTAAAAAAGAAACAAATATTTAAAAGTGGGAAGATTAAAAGTTTGAGCAAGTCCACTTATATAAAGAATTTTAAGTAAAGACTATTCATAAAAATTATTAAGAGATAAAACTCAATCTTAGGAAGATGAAGCTATAGTTGGAGTTAAGTATCATAGTATTGATGTTCTAATTATTAGCAATCTCATATTTCACCTGAATGAAACTTGATTTAGGTTATACTTATCATATTAGTTTTATTCAAGAGTGTTTTACAAATAATCAAAGTTTAAATGGAGGAAAAGCCTTACTAAGAAATAACAAACCTTGTGATATTTTTGGTATTAGATCTTTTGCAATTAAGATGCATGATGGCTAAGTGAGTATTCTCAAAAACGATTTTAGGCGTGTTTATAATCTAAAGAGAAATATGATTTCTATTAGGACATTTGGTGACTATGCATATATTTTAATCTAAAAAAGGTTTTATTGAGAATTTTAAAGGGTGCTCATGTGATCTTGAAGGGTATTAAACATTATAGGTTTTATGTGTTATAAGATGTCACTATGATTGGTAAAAATAATGCATCAACAAATATTGATTTGGATAAAACATGTTTACGACATTAGCGATTAGGACATCTAACTGTTAGAGGTTTGACAGACTTATAAAATTAAGGTTTGTTTAGTAATGATTCAATAGCATTCATTGATTTTCATGAATCTTACATTATTTGCAAATTATAATCTAAATATTAAGTTATTATAACAAATAGTAGAATAGATTCTAGATTACATTCATTTTGATATTCGGGTTCAACAGGAGTAATAACTCATGGAGATTGCACATTCTTTCCTTTATTTATTGATGATTACTTTAAAACATTTTGGATATTCTTGCTTAAATTAATAGATGAAACATTTTTCAAAATTTCTAGAATGAAAATTACTGTTTGAGAAATTAAAAGCATAGAAAGATTAATACTTTAAGAACCAATAACAAATTAAAATTGATCAACAAAATGTGTTTTTTAGATTATCCTAACTATTTTAAAGGTTACAAATTATGAGTTTGAATTCTTTAAGTGTAAAAAAAACATAGTTAATTTTGATATTATCATTACTGAAGATATTTTGTATAGTTCAAAATCTAACGATGCAAGTATGAGTGTTAATTTTAATGAAATAATAAGAACACAATTTTTTTAAATAATCACTTATGAGTTTGTGATGAAGCATCCCACGAACACTACACTAAATAACTATAACTCATAATAATTCAAAATTTAACAACCTCAAAATGAAACATTTAAAAAAGTAACTATCAACTTATTAACATTACTAAGTATGGATTGTTGAGTTGATTAAATTTGTTTGATTATCAGCATTTGAATATGAAAAGTCTGAACCTTTAAGTTAAAAAGAAGTCATTTTTAATAAAAATAAAATAATAAATTGGATTTAAAATTAGAAAAATAATATCATTATCTTCTTAAAAACAACTCATGTATTTTATATAATGAAGAAAACTAGAAATAGTTACATGTAAGTGAATTTATAAGATAAAGAAGGCAATGCATAAAATACACTAGTTGCCAAGAAGCAGACTCAAAAGAAATGCATAAATTACACTGATATTTTTTCTTAAGGTTCAAACATAATTTGTTCATTTAGTGTCCTTCGTTGATTTAGAATTACAACAACTTAATTTAAACATAACATTCTTTCATGTTGAGTTGGAAGAGAAAATTTCAATGTCTTGAACTAAGGGATTTATTGTTACACATAATGAAAAAAATATTTTACTTGAAAAAATATAAATATGGGTTAGAATAATTTCCTTAATAAGTAGTATGTAAAATATGTATCATTCATATTGAGTGTGGGTTTTAAGCGTATCAATAATTATGATGGGTGTTTCTATTTTAAAATATTAAATAATGGAATCTTATTTGCATGTTTATCTACGTGAATGATATGTTATTGGCCTATAAGGATAAAACTGAGATGCATATTCTTAAATAAATACTAAAATTTGAAATTGATATGAAAATTCTTGGTGATACTACGAAGATTTTTGAAATAAAAATTCATGGAGATAGAAAATCAAAAGAATTATTTCTTTCATAGAAAAATTATTTTAAAGAAATATTCTACGTTAGATTCAAAAGTAGTTAGTTTACATTAGAGAAGTCAGTTTTGGTTATTTGCAACTTTGTTTCTAAATAAGATGAAGACATTTAAAGGATAATAAATATTTCATATACAAATGTTATTGGTTCTTTAATGTATACAATGGTTTTTTCTAGACCTGATATTAGTTACTTAGTGTTATGAGCAGATACTTGTCTAATCTTAGTTTAGAACATTTGAAGACAATGAAATAGCTACTAAGATACATACAAGGAACCCTAGATATATGTGTGAAATACATATCAAGTGCTGATGTAATTAATGTTATTGGTTAGATTAACTCAAATTTTGCTAGATATTTGAATTGTCAGAGACTATCACTGAATTTGTGTTTATGTATGTTGAGGCCCTATTAATTGAAAGTTGTATTTATAGTTTTTTTGTGGTTCTATCATTAATAGAAGCAAAATATATAACATCAACGAAAGTAATGGAAAGAAGCCATTTGGTCGCAAGTTCTAACTAAAGAGCTTGGCATTTTTCAAAATGTTATTACAATTTATACAGACACTAAGAGTGTTTTACATTTGTGCTAAAATTATAATTATCATCAAGGAACAAAATTTGTGGATGTGAGATTTACATTCTTTCTTGATCTAGTTAATTAAAGTGCTTTTAAAATAATTAAAGGGTCTATAAATGACAAACTTTTTGATATTGTTATAAGGTAGTTCCTCTAAGCAAGTTTAGACACTACCTAAACTTACTAAATATGTGTAAGTAAGGTCTTCTTTTACTTAATCTTTTTATAATAACTATAAATCAAAGTGGATAACTGACATAGATTATATGAATCTTGATTTCCCATGTTCTAACCCTTGAATATGATTGGATTGCTTGAGAGGGACAAGACGAAGGATGTGGGGGTTTCAGGCAATAAGAAACTTTGGGATTTTGAATTATAGCTTTTTTCTACAAAGATTCTTCGCATGTCTATGCACACATTGGTGTGAATCTCCTAAAGAATATTTAGTTTTTTATCTCTTATCCACAATCACTTTCTTCTTAAGTATTTTGTCCAAACCTAAGGTATGATCTATTGCTATCACAATCGATAACTATAAGATACACATACATAAAGAGATGTGGATTCATGAGCATATGTGGCAAATGCTTCTTTCTCGTTTTGTTAAGTTTAGTTGATTTCTTACATTCTTCAAGGAATTCAATAGTGATTTACACTTGTGTCTTTCTTCATAAGCTTAATAAAAGGATTGAGATGGATTTTTCCCATGGACATAGAGATCAACTAACCTCGACCACACTATGTCGTTTGGTTCTTTGTTCATTCCTCTTGTATTTATGTGTTGTTATTAATCATTAATATTTCATTGGATTGCTGATTATTTTAGTTTTAAGTGTCGTACAGAAAAGTACATTTGAAGCTTTATACATGTTATTAAAAATTGAAAAACTTCTTGGGGTTTTGATAAGATTTCTGATTCCTATTAAAAACTCATGTGTGTGTGTGTGTGTGTGTGTGTGTGTGTGTGTGTTTGTGTGTGTTTTATTTAAATATATCTCATTTCAGAGAATTTTATGTATTATTCTTTTGTTAACTAGTTTCCTATTATAGAAATTACAAAAAAGTTTATGTATAATAAATTTAGTTTACTCTGTACCTATATATCGAGAAGAATTAATGTATTGATTGTATCTCAACATTAATGTTAGAAAGTAAAATAAGAGGTGATTTTCTTAATTGCCTAAAATGAAAGTTTCCAGTTAGCTTTTGGTTTAATAAGTATCCATCTACTAGTACATTGAATATAAATTTAGGCTCTTATACTCTATCACCCACATACTTTATCTTCCTCATGTTACCATTATTCAAGGAAGCAAGGCCATCTTAAGAAAAGCATGATTATTAGTTTTGTCTCTTATTTAATTTTAAGTCAATGATGATTTGAAATTATAGAAACCATCAAAACTCAAAATTTAAAACAATAATTTCTCTTTGATTTGAAACCTAATTTAATTTAGTTAAATAATTTTGATTTCTCAACCCAAAAATACAAATCAAAGTAAATCAATAAAATCATGAAAATAAAAAAAATAAAAAAGAAAGCTACTTAAATTAGGGAATTCATTCATTATTTTTTGATGTTATTCATTTCAAGGTGTGCATTATTAAGTTTTACACTACGATACAAATAAGAATACAATTATAATATTTAAATATGAGATACTATGCAAATATATATATCACTATCAAGGTAATATAAAACTTTTTGATTAAGACACAAATATCCAAAAAGCCGAACATAACCAATTCAGGGTGTGCCTTGTAATTGAAAAATCAAACCGAACATAACCAATTTGGTTAATTTTGTTTGGTTTTAAAAATTGATTTCAATTTTTGGTTTAAAATAAGAAATATTTGGTTATTGATTTAAGGTTCAATTTTTATTTTTTGAAATTAATTAATCCAAAAAGCCGTCACAGATATTTTCCTTTCTCTAATGGCTTCTCAGTGCCATTGTTAAGCACGAGAGCCCACCCTTTCGACATTTCCCTGCTAAGGAGTCGAAGCAAGGAGAGCTAGTCATAAGGCATCTCCTATTTCGTACAAGATGGCCTAGGACAAAATACGAAGCTTCGGCGAGATAGAAGTAATACATTTTGAGTGCGAGGTTCCCTCGATCCCCATTCAAAATCTTAAGTTTTCTTGCCCTAGCCCTAGTGTTTCTTCCTTGAGTTACATTGCCGTGTTGATCTTCATCGGTCATAAATCATTCAACTTTTCAAACAAAGCAAAGGTATTTTGTAGCCATTTTTTTCATTCTTCATACTATGATGGAAGCACTTGCTATAAGTAAGCCAATGTGCGCATGCAAGGTTTTTCATTTTTTCAGTTGTTCAAATCATATTATCCACTTAAGGGTTGAGGGCCTACGACTTATCATTTTCCTATCATCATATAGAGTTAGTTGTAAATCACGTTATTTTCTTTAGTTAATGGGAGAAAAGGGTGTTAGGTGTAGTGTAGTTGTATATCAAGGGGATGAGGTGTGAAGGATTTTTCATATTTGCCAGATGCATTCACTGATTCACGTATATTTACCAAATTTGGCAATTTATTCTTCATTAATTAGTAGAATTTGCAAAAGATGTGATATTGATTTTTCCATTTTTTTCTCTTTTGGGATATGTAGTAATGTGGTGTTTTCCTAATGTTGTAACATATAATATTCTTAACATCAGTCTTTTTAAATTAGGGAGGTTTTGAGTGTTCCTGCTCTGTTTGAAGAGATATTGCATTGTAATTCTGAATGATTCTGTATTTCATTATTTAATAGTGGTATGATTATTTGCTAAAACATTCAGATTCATGTGAGTCAAGAGAGAAGGTTATACTTTTCTGTATATTAAGGATTTGTTTGGGATATTTTTTAATACCCTATATTTGCTTTTTACTTTACCTGAAATGGGAATATTTTTTGGTTTTGTTATGTACATATTTGTCAATCAGGAAGGATGGAAATCATGCAGCTACATTAGAATTTTTCTATAATTTGGAGCTTCCTTATTTAAATTATTTTTAATATTTTTATTCTGATTTATTTCCTTTTTAGCTGAATATTTAGATTGGGAATATGTATTATTAAGTTATATAAAATAGATTATACTGAATATTTTGGACCTAAAATAGATTGTAAGATTATTATTTAAGAATAAAAGCAAAGGGGAAAAGGCATCGAGTCTATTCAGCATTCAACCAATTTTTCTCAAAACTTTGACATGATATCAGAGCCAAATTTTTGCCCTGACCACTGATAATCGTTGGAGGAACGTCAAGACTCCCTTCCCGCCGGCCTTCTTGCGGAACGGGAAGGGAGGAACTATTTCTTTGTTTTGATTCTCGCCCGTCTGCTCGTCGTCCCATTATTTCTTCGCCTGTGTCGTCATGAAATTCCCACTGAAACACCTGCTTCATTCCTTGGAGAACCAATGCATCTTATGACGGCACTCGCCACTTCGGCACTCAAGGCTTCGATAATCTCGGCTTCGACATCTCAACTTCATTAGTTTTTGCATGAAGATCAGGGAACAAATCGTCCCTGTTGTCGCAGGAAGAATCAATAGCATTTGGATCATACCATGATCAGTAAAATTTGGATCAGGACGCAGATCCTACTTGTAGGCTATGATTGAACGCATTTGGATCGTGTAACTAAATCCTATTTGTGAGCTATGATCGGTAGCATTTTGATCAAGACGCGGATCCTATTTGTATGCTATTATTGATATCATCTGGATCGTGTAGCTGGATCCTATTTGTGGGCTATGATCGGTAGCATTTGGATCAGGACGCATATCCTACTTGTGGGCTATGATCAATAACATCTGGATTACGTAACTGGATTCTATTTGTGGACTATGATCGGTAGCATTTGGATCGTGTAACTGGAAGCAAATCCTTCTTGTGGCTATGATTCGACTTTATGGACGACAATGATAAAGAATTTCTTGCTTTTCTTTACTCTGTTTGCATCAATTTTTGGATGTCATAGGTGTAGGGCGTCCACCTGTGATCGACGAAAATTTGTTATCGCGCGCCATGCACGAAGTTGGCCCGAATTGACCAAATCACCAGCGAAGTTATACAGATGGCCCCGAACGACGAAACAGACCACCTGAGTGCGTCCGGAATGTCGATTTCACTTACGGGGGATGTTCACTTCGCTACGGCTTCGCCGGGGGGGTAAAAATGTGTGAATTATTGTTTTGGGCACAATCGTCAAAAAAGTGACCCAAACGACCCCGAATGACGAAACGGACTGGCGGTCACGTCCAGAACGTCAATTTTACCTAAGGGAGACGTTCATTTTATCGCGATGACGTATTCGACAAAAAGATGCGGAGAGATAATAATAATAATAATATTATTATTATTATTATCTCTCCGCATCTTTTTGTCGAATACGTCATCGCGATAAAATGAACGTCTCCCTTAGGTAAAATTGACGTTCTGGACGTGACCGTGCAGTCCGTTTCGTCATTCGGGGTCGTTTGGGTCACTTTTTCGACGATTGTGCCCAAAACGATAATTCACACATTTTTACCCCGCCGGCGAAGCCGTAGCGAAGTGAACATCCCCCGTAAGTGAAATCGACATTCCGGACGCACTCAGGTGGTCTGTTTCGTCGTTCGGGGCCATCTGTATAACTTCGCTGGTGATTTGGTCAATTCGGGCCAACTTCGTGCATGGCGCGCGATAACGCTGGAGGCGGAACCCCGCCGGCCTCCTCTTGCCGGCGACCGACGCCGCCGCCCTCCCTAGCCAACAACCTCTTATGCTTCTTCTTCTACCTCTTCTTCTTCTTCTTCTTCTTCCGATTTTTCTCTCTTCTATTTCTTCTCATTATTTTTTTCTTCTTTTTTTTTTATTTTATTTTATTTATTTATTTTTTTTCTTCTTCTTCCCTAATTTTTTTTTTTTCTTCTTTTTCTTCTTTCTTCTTTCTTTTTCTCGGCCAACCCCGCCAATCTCGCCGAATTTTTCTTCACTTCGCCGGCTTTTGCCTTGCTGATGTTGTGTTTTCTTTCGCCGGAGTAAAACGGTGAGGATAAGCCTCAGATTTTGGGCTCTCCTCCGTGTTTCATTCGCTCCCGGTGCGCACTGCCGAGCAAGCCTCCTCAAAGGTATATGTGTCGTTTGTACTTTCATATGATTTTATCAATTATTTTGGGTACTTTTTATCCCTCGCTGCATCTTTTATTATTCCGTGCATGTTCTACGAGACAATTGGCGCGCGGACTAGAACACCGTCGGGGTTTGCCGGAAACGTCGACGGCTTGGAGCAAGTAAAGAGAACGCGCCTGCAACCTTCACGGTGGTGAGATCACCTAAACTTCTAGCTAGCCTTAGGTTTAGTGGTGTCTAGGCGTG